TGAATTAATTTAAAAATAATTACCTGCTGTTGCTTGCTTGTATTTAATTTTTTTTAAACAAACAAATTAAATTAATGTAATTACAATATCAATAAAATAGTAGATACGTGTTAATATTTTTTCGTATTTTGTTAATTTTTTTCTATAAATGCTACATATCATATAGCATTTAATTGTACCTACGTATCATACATATCGTGAGTTAAAGAACTTTAATTTCAAAAACAAAATAAATCAAAATTTAGACGCTAAAGAACAATTTTTGTAAAAAAAACAACCCTTATGTTTTTTGGCGAAAAAAAATTTCAATTTGTCATAATCTTCATTATTAAAAATAACTCTCAATAGATTAATTATCAATTATTTAACCAATTATTTTGCATTTTTTATAATTTCTATAACGTTAGGCTAGAATAATAACAATTTCATAATTACGGTAACTATTTTAATAAATACATATCTAGTATATAAGTTAGCGCACAAGTCAAAACACTAAAATATTAACCAATAAGTACGACAAGAAAAATATATTAAAACAGGCATTAGCATTTAATTAAACGTCGCGTTAAATTCAATTTTTTTTTCATACCTAATTCTATGAGATATGTAAACAATTTTGAAAACATAACAAATCTAAATAATTGCGAAAATGGAAATCTTCAATCAAATTTTGATATTTCATTCAACTTATTCTATTTACTACATTCCGTTTTAAGGTACTTGACTAGCCTTTGAAATAAAAGCCACGAAAGCGTGTATATATTACAAGGCCATACTATTCTCATCAAGTTTACAGTTACTTTATCTCATTTTCTAATTTTGGTTGCTTAAATTTAAAAAAAAAAACATTAAATTTTGCCTCTACGTCAAAATTTTGTTATTTTCCTACCATTTTCAATTACTTATGTCCAACAATACAAACAATGTTTAATTTGCAATGCCGTCACTAACCATCACCAAATTAAAACTACGAAAACCCAAAACAGATTTTAAATTATCAAATTTCTTATGGTAAACACTTACAACAATCATATTTTTTAATAGTGTAATAGATCGGGTTTTTTGATATTAAAAAGTAATTTTGTGAAATAGCCCCCAATTTTTTGTCTAAAAATACCTCTTCGCATGTAAATAATAAAAATAATTAGCGGTCGATTTTTGCGCGATATATTAAGCATGCAATGTTGAATTTCCGTGTGATTTGCAAGGGGCAAAAAAGTGAATTTTCCGGTGTTTGGCACGCATTCGAATCGAGTTCCAGGTGCACGTCGCAAAAAAATCGCTATAGGGGTGGTAAAAATAAAATAATTACGAAAGCACAAACTCCAACCTGGCAAAAACGCACAACCCTCACATCCACACTATGCAAGTCGAACTAAAAGCTAGTTTGAGTTTGGCACGAATTCACCCCGTCCCGTAAGCGGACGACATTTCCATTGGCTTGAGCGTTTCCGTACCCCGCCTAACCCTTATTTATACCATACGCACCCGCCAAAGAAACATTCGCACTACAAACAGATACAATTCGACGATATTTAAAAAAGCTGCCTCCAAAATGGTCGCACTCAGGAATGCTACAGGCTAAGAATAGTGTCATAAAAAAATCAATTTTTTTTTCAAAAAAAATCACTTACGATTGGGGAATCACCTGGCCAGCGCACTCGGGTCCTAAAGGCACTGCGACAGTGTCATATCGCGGTTTTCAGTCAATTTGTAAAATAACTATTGAGCAGGAATGACGTTGCAGCGGGCCAAACTATAGTGAAATGATACCGAAATGCGATGATGACGTTCGAATGCACACGCACTATGCGCACTTTTTTCACGCACCAACACGACTTTTCATCAAAACGCCCGCACGAATTCTGAAAAATGTTTATCGAAACCCCACGTTTAGTGGGGGTTGGGATATCAGACACACGCAACAAGCGGGGGTGCGGGAGACCATCGCGACTACTTTGGGTGGGGGTAAGTAGCAGACTCGCGGGGTAAGGTGTCTATTATAGGATCGCACTAGGGCCAAATAGATACGATAGATGCACTCTTTCCGTCCTTTTCTGCACTAGAACTAGGTGGGGACGGCGCTCCCGCCCCACGCAACGAAACACAATTTCCAAACGCACACAATTTTCATGCAAATCATGGTCCAATCATCAAAAATGCCAAGTCCCAACAAAATTCTAGCAATTTGGGCCGATTTCAGCAGCATGGTTTTGACCTTTTTTGATAATAATCTTAAACAAAACCAAAATTAACAAATCTGCATACGTTTTTTGTCTTTGTTGCAAATAAAATTAAAGTAGATTTTCAATAACATTTCAAAAAAATCTGAAAAAATTATTTTGATAAAAAATACATTTTTTCAATCTGTACCTACGATACTTCATTAATGATAAAATAAAATTAATAAAACGTCGGTTCTAATAACTGTTTTAATTTAAAATTTACAAAATATACACAAACACACACAAAAAAAACACACAAAGACTGTATTTTAAATTTTTGAATCTTTTTTTTTCGTACACACTGTATACATAATTATTTCTTTCATTTATAGCAATTTTTT